TCGAACTCTCACCGCGGGCTTTACATTTGTTTTTCAACTCATTCCGGAAAATCACGCACACATCTTCATCGAGCGCTTTTCCATCGAGCTCGCGCGTTCATATTTAACATAAATAGTTTCCAATCTGTGTCCAAATAAATGTTGAAATGTGTTATTGTTAATATAAATACAATCGTCGAGTGTCTACGCCCTTTCAGGAACACCGCACATTCGTTAACGTTGTTGTATACGCGATTAACTGAAGCGTAACATGGCAGAAAAATGAGTTTACAATTTGAAAAACGCTTTATACTAACACAAGCTCTGGAAAGGACTTTGAGAAATGATTACCTGTATAAACAATTTCATTGTCTGAATAAAAATAAATGAACAATATTGGAGGTCAATACCCGAATTTGTTCATTTGGTATCCCCACATTTTTCACGTTTTCACTCTCTTCCTCTCAGATAACGCAACTGAAAATCGCCAGCAATCCGTTTGCCAAGGGCTTCAGAGACTGTGATCCGGAGGACTGGTGAGCTTTTCATTTTTGCTTATGTTTAACTAAGATAAAACAAATGTATTGGAAATATTATAAGGGCAACAATCAAATGCACATCAATGACTAAATAACAAACATACAGATAGCTATGAATTATAATTTGTAGCATAATTGTATTTTAAGTAAGTTTATTTGTACATTTTTGCTAACTTTGCTATAAAAAGAGAAAATAGTGATAAATATGTATTATTGCCTTGTTAAATATTATGAACATTTTTATGCAGTAAAATTATACAGTAAAAAATTTTTTTATTTGACTTCTAAAGCATTTTTTACTAAATGAAAATTGCTGTCTTATATAAACTGGGGTTTACTGTTACATTTTGATTATATATATTTGCATATGCATAAAATGCCAAAATAATTAAGCTGATAGACTGCCTTATTGCTCTGAACTACAATTATATTATATTTTTTGCTAGAATTCTATCAGACATACCACTCATTCAAACAGACTAAAACAATGCATTCCAGTGCATGTCACTGATTTTTATCTTGCCTGCTTTTCAGGCCCAGAAATCACAGGCCGGGCTCTCTGCAAATCATGAGTGCATTTGCTCGAACCAGGAACCCCATGTCCTCTCCCCCACAGCAGAACGGCACAGAGAAAGGTCTGTATATAAAACACAGCTAACAAAATCTCTTTAAAACAATATTCTTAGTTTACAAATGAACATTTCTACTAAATGACAAGACAAACGGTCACATTTGGTGTATGGATAATATTGTGTGCCTATTACACATTTAAATCCATTACGGATCAAACAGTCTGTACAGGAATGTACATTAACATTCATAAACACTAAACCGAATTCAGCTGTGATTACCGTGTAAAAGCCAATTCACTAGAAATGAGCAACAGGCCCAAATAAAGGCAGTTAGGATTTTCAGTCGAGTAATGGCTCCAGTCTGTTTGGTTTCTCAACATCTACGTTCCACTGGGCAAAACAGTTACATTTGTCTAGTTGAGCGCTGCAAATTTCAATACACAAAGGTTTGAACAGCTGCATGCCCGGAGGACATGCTCAGACTGAGATTTTTCAGTCCTGCGCTCTGTGTAAAATGATTTCCTGTGAGAATTCGCCTCTTTGTCTGAAGGACACTTATGACTTATCCTGCCAATCAACCACAGCACATCTCATTTCACAAACTAACTAAATTACACCACTTTTTCTTTACAGTTCAGGTCCCTGAGCTCATTGTCAGGGCTACCTACATTTGGTAAAGAGCCATTCAAAACTGTGCAATACACAAACAGGTCTCTAATCAATGGTTCGATTGTGCAAAATAATCCTAAATTACAAGTTTAAGAAATTGCTTACATATGCTTTTTTTTTTTTGATCTCATAAAATGTGAAATAATTTGATACATGTCCAGAACAGAACTTTGAATACTGGATAGAGACTGTTTAATGGTCTAATTTTGTTCACATAATAGAGTTAATAGGGTTTTTACAAAAGGGGTTTTGGATACATCTCTTTTTATCACACCACAAACCAGAAAATACTGTCCAACAGCCATGAAAAAAAATCACCATATTACCAATAAACATACCAATAAAATGTTGTATATGTTGCCCTTTGTAAAAAAAAAAAAACATTCTGAATATACACTGAAAATAATTTGGTGTAGAAACAATTTTCACTCAGAAATTGCTAGTAAATTTCACAATGACAAAGAAACTGCAAGTAACATTGAACTAAAATGACATTTTGAAGTAGAAAAACTGAAATAGTATTTTCATGTAAATCATACTTTGATAATCTTTGTTTTCTTTACAACTTCAAAATGTCATTTTGTACAGTGTAGATTGGAAATCTAGTTTTGGTGCTACTGAAGTAGAGATTTCTGTCTCAGAAAAAAAATAATTTGAGAAAAGGCCTTTAAAGATAAATATTGAAACTTAAATATATTGACACAAATAGATAAGAGTGCAAAAAAAAATAAAAATAAAAAACAATACAAGTGAATTTTAGAAACAACATGTTATGAAAATCCAAATAGCCTTAAAATTGACCAATGCATGAAAAAAAACAATGTTTTTGCCTGTAGTGTCTTGCCTTCAAATCTTACACGCTTTTTTTTTGTCCTGAACACAGAAGACAGCAGGCGAGAATATGAGCGCGACCCCAGCGGCACCCTCCTCCATTCCGACCCCGCTCACCAACTGATGTCCCGAGTCCTCAGCCCAGCCCTTCCGGTCCTTGGAGGCCTACACACTGTGCCCCTCACAGCCGGCCCTCGCAGCCCACCCCACGAACTACGCCTAGACGGACACCCCCAACCCCCAGACACCTTGCACCATCATCCATACAAGTACCCAACTACCTATGAACACTATCTGGGAGCCAAAACCAGGCCATCCCCGTATCCCTCACCGAGCATTAGAAGCCACAGTTACCACCCTCACATGAACCCAGCCACAGCCAACATGTACTCTGCAACAAGTGCGCCGACTAATTACGACTATGCACCCAGATAATGACTCAATCGGCACCCCAAATTGGGTTCAGATTGAGAGCCTCACAGGACAAAACATACTGAGAAAAAAAAACCACATACCTTTGTGTCCCAGACTCACGAAACATGTTGAGTTTTGGGTCGGGCACATCTTTTGCAGTGGCTTCTAACCTTTGGAAAGAGAAGCTGTCATATTTATTGAAGGGAGAAATGTCACAAATGTCCTTGTGGATCATTAGGATGAGCCCTGTGGACCCAATATTAGCTCTGGACATCCTGTGAACTCAGTGGCAGGGCACCTGGAAACTGCAGTATAACTAGTGTTTGGAGTAACGAGGAGGACAAAGACTTCTTTAGACAAATAATGCATTATCACGGACTGGAATTGAACTTTTGTGTTGGATGCACTTTTTGTTTTTGCTTTTAAAAAGCCATAAATTATATATTACCCTTGAGCCATTGAGCTTCTAGATAGATGGAATATTTGCATGTTGCGCTGTTTTGAAGGTGCTGAAATGCCCTGAATTTTTTTTTTTTCCTGGTTAAGAATTTTTATTATTTTTTTAATTTTTTTTGAAAATGCTAGACCACCTTTAGCAGGTCCCTGAAGCTTGTAACTTGGCACTGACCTACAGCAATTCAAATAAATAAACGAACAGAATGACTGTGCTGAACTTGTAAAATAAACATTAAATATTTTACCTTTACGCATGTTCCATTACCATATGCAATTCTTGTCCAGTTTTACCAGAAGCTTTATCGAATTCTTTCCTTGGAGGAAATGCAACTCTCATTCTCCTCAGAACTCCAAATATGTTTGATTTGGAAAGACATTATTGATGCATTATCGAGTAGAGATTTGTGATATTGTCAGCTTGGGCCTATTTCAACGAGAAAAAAAAAAAAAAAGTAAAATACATATTTAAAAAAAAAAAAGACTGACTTAATGGCAAAGAAATGTTTGAATATTGCATACTAAATTACACACACACCACACACACACACACACACACACACACACACACACACACACACACACACACACACACACGGATATAGTTTACTTAAAAAAGGTTTAATATTTACTTAGTTTATAATTTACTTAGACTCAGGCTACTAAATGAATAATAATAAAAAAAAGTACCTGAGAGAAAATTAAATGTAGCCTTATTTAAACAGGATGAATAACAAGAAAACATAGTAGGCTACATTTGCAAAAAGAAACGAGATGCACGAAGTAGGTAGGTTATGGATGTGATTGTCCGTGTTTAGGTAATTCAACTTACATAAACACTGTAAATGAAAGTGACGCGTTATTGAAATAGATTAGCCTACTACAGAAAAGCGCGTTTGACAGCCTCTACTCTGCCGTTTCTCTAGGCGTGATTTAGGTAATCCCATGGTAGAGGAAAGAAACGCTTGCACACCGTTTAACCTCTGACAGCTAACGACTTTCTGAAGTATCAAAGGTTAAACAATGTTTCCAGCCATTTGAGCGACGACTAATTGGTCTTATAATTTTTTGTTTGTGGTAACAACTCGATGCACCGGGACCAGCAACGCTGTATGCAGACATTTCAAATTGCTCTGCGTTAATAGTGATTAAAAATTGAACTGAGATAAAAAAATTAAAAAAAAGAAAAAAAAAAAAAAAAGGACAATGAAAAACAAACACGAACGAGAATTTCATTATTTCTTACGTATCTTGTGCATGCGAAATATGCTGCCAAAAATATTTAATTTATAATATAGGCTACATACATTATAAATGCCTATAAAAATAATTAAAGAATTTTCTGATACCCTTTTTAAAAAGAACAAATTAATTATAAATATAATTATATACAATATATTGTAATTGTTTAATTACTTAGATACATTTAAAACATTCAAATAAAATATTTAGCATACCTACTATCAAAATATTTAATAACACTTGCTTAAAAACAGGTAATCACAAAGATAGTAGCTAGTAACTAGTTTTTCATATAGCCTGTGTATATTCATCCTTATAATTAAATCTTTTAACAATCCGTCCATTGTCAAGTGAAGCGCACATGTTATTTCCCTGCTTTAGTACACATTTGGGGCCGGAAGAGCCCGTTTGGAGGATTGGGCCTCCCTTCGCGTGAGCCTGTTCCCGGCTAGAGGTAATGAGTTTGGCCCATCAGGAAGGCCGGGACACCCGGACCCATGGCTCTTCCGTCAGGGGTCTACCCATCTGTGTTTTCTCTGGTAGCGCTTCGCCATGATGAGAGAGGCCGACTGGGGCCCGCGGTCGCACAGCCTGTGTACCTGCATCCATGAATGATGACTGACGGCTGTTTCCAACAATGACCGCTTCTAAAAATGTCCATTATTTATGCGGTGAATGCACCGAAATTTGTGTCCGTCTTTGAAGTCAAACATGATGCGTGAGAAGTTCAGCATGAAAACACTGTTTGATCCCAGAGGAAATACCTGCGCTTCGAAAACACACACACACACACACACACACACACACACACACACACACACACAGTGACAGATTTGAGATGTGTAAAACACGAGTTCGACATTACAATGTCACAAAGTCAACACTTGCTATTAAAATTAAATAAATAAATAATAAAAGTGTATCATTCAAGATAAATTAGATCCTAATATAATTTATTTGAAAAGAAACGTGTTAAATTGTAGCCTACGCTGTAAATAATTAAACAATGCGTTAATACACGTGTACAAATTAAAATAACCATATAAATAAATAAAAAGCAAAAATAGGCTTTTGTTAAAAAAAAAAAGTATTATTATTTTAAACCGGAACAACAGCATTTCCATGCAAAGTCACAAATAAAAATGGATAGCATTATCGAATGAAAAATAATTATCCATCTCATAACGCGGCGAGATAAAATCGACACTCTATAGGCCTATGGCACTGAATAATAAACAATATTACTGAAGTTATGAACACATAAAAATCCTAAAGCGAAAAAACAAAACACAAAATCCACCTTTGAACCTTCTTGTTTTGAACCTTTCCTAGCGCAAGGACTCTCAGCCATCAGCGTAAAATAAAAGACTTTTTAATGAACAACAATAACGAACAATATTGCATTATGCCAAACTAATGCTGACCCAGTTTTTCAGTTAACTGTACCTTTATGTCTCCTGCCATGTCCAACTCTCTTTGCTTGACAAAGTAGGACAATGAATCAACTGATTAGATACATCAGTAAAAACAATAACCAAATTTTAAATTAATTTGATTGTATAAATATTGATTTATATATCAGTCCAAGTTGAAAGCCTGTAAGGGTGTAACTCACAGCACATGGACATTTCTATTCAGACAGCTAGGCCTATAGCTAAAGGCTCAGTAAAACAACACACTGTATGGTTAAGGAAAAAAAGAAATGGTAATCATCTGACACAGGGTCTCATCTGGAACATCTGTTGTGACAAGCCTATCTTTTGTGTACATTTCTCTCGCTTGGCACGTCCAAAGACAGCTCTTCAAAAAAAAGAAGAAGAAAAAAAGGGGGGGAACTTAAGGTGGACCAGCCATGAAAAGATGTTTACCTACAGCCATGCACGTGTTTCACATTTTCCCGCGTTTTTCAGCAAATTTGTGTTTTATTTGTCAGCGCCGCATATGAAAACAAATCACGGGCGTGCTTATCTCAGACAACAGAAATCACTTCATTCCGACTGAGCCTGCCAACATATAAATAATTTACTATAACACAGCCAGTGTTCAGTTTCTTTCATTCAAAGGGCCATTTCCTCAGACTGATTACCTGGGATTATTGTTTGTTTCCAAAAACTAACATCTATTCATCCAGTCTTTCCCAGAGTATCTTTAAACTAGCAGCACATGCCACATGGAGTGTATTGTGGGTGACTACGGTTTGTTTAAGCTGGCGTAGAATGGTCAGGTGACCTCTGACCCCTCCTGCAATAGACAGGCGTGTGTCTGTTGTTCAGTGAGCCGCAGGTTTTTGTCAGTGGCCCATGTCAAGGTTTTGCTTATACTGACTGCTTAAGTGATCTATTATTGACATGGGAGGTATAAGCTGAAATCTCTAGCAATAGACGCTTATGTGCTTATTCACAGAACGGATGGAAGGGTCCACTGGCATGGCTTTGTTGTGCCCCCCCACCAAGTCTACAGAAGTAGGAAGCGATTACCAATCGGACGAGCTCCACAGAGGTCATGGACAAAGGTACATGAGGGTCCCCAGATGACAAGGAGAAGGCTAATGACCAGGCGGACTGTGAAATGAACTGTTTTGTCTTCCTCTCTGGCCGGCGACTCGCCCGCTGTTGTTTTTCCTTTAAAAGGATGGCCTCCAAGTTCCCCGAGCTTCCTGTACCGTCTGATGAGATATTCCAGTCTGGGTACGTCCCCAGAGACACGTGCTTTATGGGGCAGAACGGCTGTGGGCCGTTTGAAGTTCCACCGCCATCGCTCTGAGACGCATGAAATCCCATTTAGCTTGGTACCAAGGATGGCTATTATTACCGCATACGCAGACAAAAATATCCACTTTCAAACTCTTTGGATGTTAGTCAACTAATATTCATGTCTGTTTTAAATAATCAAGTTGAGTTATCAAAAAAACAAAACAAAAAAAAAAACACGTTTACTGCCTGAATTTGAAAACCAAAAGTTTTGGTTTGAATCTTTATTGAAGTTTAAGAATAGGGATTAGAATCGAAAGGATTGTAATGAGTCTCGTTCCTATTCACGATTCCAGTTGCTTAATGGTTCCATTAACAATTCTTTTAAATACTTTTGAGAAAGAAACATTTGGAAGAATGTAATCTCTTCAGCAGCCAACGTTTCTAAATTAGTCAATTATTTTAGATTTCAACAAAACAACATAAATTAGAAATAAGTTAAATATACTTTTTGATATTTAATTTTTTTTTACTTTTGATGATTTTTAACGGCAAATCATTAAAGAGTCATTCATTAGGGAATCAAAGCACACTGGTCATGGTTTATTGTATGATTCACCAAAAGAATCAGTTCATAAAAGTTAGCCATTAGAAAATTAAACTACACTGATTATTATGTATTGTTTGATTAACAAAAATAATCAGTTCATAAGAGTCGTTGATTCTAAAATCATTAACAGAACCAAAAGTGAACCAAAACATCTGAATTGGAACTGGTTCTGAATAAGACTTGGTTCTTGGTTCCGACTCACACTTAAGAATCTTATTTAGAAATAGTGTAAACAATACTAGATATCACTTTTCCTAATGTGTAAAAAAAATACACAGAAGTACAAAAAAAGTAAACAAAAAGAAAAATGACAAACTACTCCGGTGAGTGAGCCGCGCTGTATTCGCAGAGAAAAAGCAATTAATGCAAAAATAACTAGTTTGTCTTTTAGCCACAACCGAACACAGAGGTCGGCCTTGTCTTTAGGCTGAAAATAAAGCCGCCTTCATCAGCTACTGTGCTTAAAGGGAAGAACGAAACAAAATTTCCTCAATGAATCTTTCCAACAAACAGGCCTGTCTGTGGAGCCCGAGCCCTTGTGATTAACCCTGCGTGCGTGATGTATGCAGGTCAGTCCACAGGGCAATCTTAATCTTGGAGGCAAATTTGGAAAAACAGCGCTGGATTACTGTGCCACTCAGGTGCGACTACAAGAGCAAATACACACCTACTGAAGCACATCAGCCTGGGGTAAAGCAAACAGATCGGAGAGGACGGTTTAAGCTCTGCCTTTGACAATAAAACGTGTCTAAATTACTATTGGCCATTGTGGTAAACTACAACAAAACACTTGATGGAGTGTGTTTATATTAGCTGCTTTTTTGTTTGATTTCAAAGCATTTGACCTATAAGAACTCATTAATTTAGACACGTAAGTAATGGCAACACTGCTGCACGTCTTTCTAAATGAGACTATGTTGTAGCTCCGCCTCTGAATGGCAGTCAGCCACTAATTTAGGTGCTTTCATTCAAAGAAAATGAACCATGTTCAAGTATGTAAATAAAGTCAGTAAATTGCGACAATCAGTTTGAAGGAAAATGTTAAAGTGGAAACTCAACTGTATATAAACCGCAAACTACACTGGTCATGCTGTTTTGTTTAACTCACCAAAAAGAAACCAGTTCATAAGAGTCATTCATTCGAAAATTGTTAACAGAACCAAAAGTGAATAAAATCATCCATTTCGATATTTAAAAAAAAAATGGAACCTGTTTGAAATAAGAATTGATTCTCAGTTCCCATCCTAACTTAAGAACCTTGTATGCAAATACAAGACCTATTACACAAAAAAAAAAAAACTGCCGCACATCTTGCTAAATGAGATTATGTTGTAGCTCCGCCTCTGATTGGCAGTCAGCCACTAATTTAGGCGCTTTCATTCAAAGAAAATATATTAGCACCACATTCAAGTATGTAAATAAAGTCAGAGTAATTAGCAACAATCAGTTTGAAGGAAATGGTAAAGTGGGCCTCTGTCTTTCAAACTCAACTTTCACTATATATAGACCACACACTGATCCGCTGGTCCTTGGACCCTGCGGCCAGAAGTCTTTGTGGGGGGTCCTGATGGTCTGAGAAGGCCACACTATTCACCATGTCAGTATGATGTTGCAGAACAGCCAATGGCTTCAGTTTCTTCCAGCCCAACACTCTGATGTTGTTGTCCCATCCCGCCGTAGCGAGGACCTTTCCATCGACACGGATACGCAGCTGGGAGACCCCAGGATTGGTCATCTGAACAGAGTCGTGCATCTATAAGGAAACACAAGTCAGACATAAATCCAAATGAGCTGCGATAGACAAATGTAGGACTTTAATTAACAAACTGCCCCATTGGAATCTCTACGATTTCATCACGACAGCAGGGCATAAACTGAATATCAGACACGAAATCAATCGCGCTAATTGTCACCATATGCGCTTATTCGTCTCAGTTGGCTAGAAAGGATTACTGTTTAAATGCACAACGCATAAACCATTTACCAGAATCAAATGAGCTTGTTGCTTAATGACCTGGGCAAGAGCAAATTTAAATCCATACAAAGAACACAGCATAGAGCGAGAGCAATTCCCCACCAGCCACCTTCGGCTGATCTGATGATTGAGCCGCAAATGAACGGCTAAATAGCTGTTGAACCTGGCAGAGGAAATCCGTGAGCGACTCCACGCCTCAATCATCGGCTGTAAAACGTTCAAGCACGAGCAAAACGCTATTTGGATTGGAGCATTAGACATTAGATGTGGAGTGAGTTACCTTTGTCACCAAGCAAGGACTGCTTTGTTTGTGAAGGCCTTGTTGTTTTAACAGTCTCTAGTGAATTACATTTTCATTGAAAGGTCTGGTCAACAGCGCAAGGGAAGCAAACGCTGGCTAAAGATCACCTTCCCTTGCTCTCCGTGATCTACGGTGGCCAGGAGACCAGATAAATCTCGCTAATGGGCAACAATGTGACGTATTATAAAGTATTACCGAGAGCTCATTATCTGTGGCCCCTCTCCTTCGAGGACGTTCTTGAGGTATTTCCTGGAGAAAAACGCACACGTGTGCTAAGTGTGTGCGTGCAAGCGTCCGCGCCGTCTCTCCACGGGAGGCATCTGGTCCTGAAGCTGGAATCGAACTGGACAGCGTAAAATTGACTTCATAAGCAGTGTCCAGAGAGACTAATGGCTCTCATGCGGGAGAAGACAGTGAAGAATTTGTCGGCGTGCTCCTGTTTCTGCCTGGAAAATCAGAGCCAGTCACTCCTGCATGTGGAAGATATAAGCCAGTCAGGTATTCCTGACCCAAGCGGATAGAAGAATGCACCGGGAAAACCATCCCTAACATTATTCTTTAACAGAGAAGGAAAAACAAGACTCTAGCATTACTTTTGTTCGCATCTGAAATCAACTCACATCATAGTCCAAATCAAAATTCTGGTGCACAGTAATGATGTCACCTGCGAGCAGAAACTTTCCCACAAACGGAAAGGGAGAGATGGTTTGCGTGCTGCGGCCAAGAGGGACGGGGGAGAAAGATGAATCGCTCCGAGCTGAGGCTGGTATGCCTGAACTAAACGCCCATCTGGTCCATATTACAGAGCTGATAATGATGGGTTAATGTGTCTATCTGTGTTTGTTATGCTTCCCATCATTTGTGTCAGGAAAATACATTAATTTAATTAAGAGGTCACAGCAAAGCGATAAAAAAGGTAAATGGGTGTTTATAAAGTGAGCCGCGAGGCCTGTATCGTGAAATAACCATTAGAAAGCCATGATTTACAGATTGCCACACTTTCGTTTTTAAAAAAATAATCAAATGAACTGAATTTTCCTACAGCTTTCACTATTTCAGGGTGTTTTAAAACAGAAGTTCAGAGATTATACATTATGGGCTCTGTTTAATCCAAAAGTCTTGCTAAGTTAGCAAATCTGGCTATCGCTTTTCCACACAAATGCTTCACTAAGATGGTGTCTACCCCATACTCAGTCGCGTTCAAATGCAATATGGAAGCATTCATATCAAACACAGCCTTTAGAGATTGAGAATGGTTATTAGCTTTCATTTATGGAATCCATTCTCCTTCCTCTACAATGAAACTTACAGACATCAAAGAGTTCAGTCTTTATGAACTATCCTTCATTTCTCCATTGGACTATTGATTCCTGATGGGGGATACATAGCAAATGGTCATCTATGCACGCAACGTACACACATATGCTTGTCATGTCAACGAGTAACCAAAAACAAACCTCAAAACTCGCCTTAGGCCCAATGGTGGACTGGAGGATAATACGTTTACTTGGTTAAACTACACAAAGTGCCACATGAATGAGTCCTAAAGCTAGAAAGGAGTTGGCATTTTTGTACTTCTGGTTCCATCGTCCTGAAATCGATGGTTTTTTTTGAGTGGGTTTTTGTTTGAAATAACGTCTGTGGTTAATACAAGGTCAAAATATTTGTACATTTTATTCTATTTATTCTATATAAAATACATCAGTAATGCCCCATTCGTGATGTTTTGCGTGTTGCTAACAGGTGGCTGAATGAGACTACAGAGGTTGTCGTGGCCAATAAACGTCATCACGCTGAGCAGGAAAACTCATTAACTCTCTAGTCCATTGTGTTTATAATCACACTCTTGCAAATTATTCAACTTGTAGATTTGTGAACCTGGACCACAAAACCAGTCTTAAGTCGCTGGGGTATATTTGTAGCAATAGGCAAAAATACATTGTATGGGCCAAAATTATTGATTTTTCTTTAATGCCAAAAATCATTAGGATATTAAATAAAGATCATGTTCTATGAAGATATTTTGTAAATTTCCTACTGTAAATATATTAAAACTTAATTTTTGATTAGTAATATGCATTGCTAAGAACTTCATTTGGACATCTTTAAATGCGATTTTCTCAGTATTTTGATTTTTTTGCACTCAGATTCCAGATTTTCAAATAGTTGTATCTCGGCCAAATACTGTCCTATCATAACAAACCGTACATCAATGGAAAGCCTATTTGATGTATAAATCTCAATTTCGAAAAATTGACCCTTATGACTGGTTTTGTGGTCCAGGGTCACATTTAAAAAAAGAAAAGAAAAAGAGTTGTCGGAAGCTTAATGGCAGTAGCATTGATAGCCTATGTTTAGTTTTTTACTTCTATTGATTGCATTAAGCTTCATTTGTGTTCATCAAAACATAAGAAGCATAAACTTTTATTGGTCACAGAACTTCTTTTATTATTACTATTAAAATTATTATTATTCAATTAAAAGGACACCCCTATTGGCTTTTGTCGAGGGAACCATGGCGATGCTACCTACTGAGTTGGCCTACAAAAATACGTCTATTAAAAAGTTACCCTTGATCATTTTTCGAAAGCAATGCAACAAGACAAGCGTGCAATGACTCGCAGCACAGTTGGTTGTGCTACACGGCGGCCAATTAAAAAGCTAAGTGTGATCGATTTTTGGCAGCAACCAATGGGATGTACAAAGCGCAATATGTTGCTCTCCCCGGCATGGACTTGGCAGGCTCAACTGACTTCACACTGATCCACTGAAACCAGTTATCATCACTTGTCCACTTGAGCCTGACAATCCAGTACAGATGAGGGGTGTGCTTGCATTTTCCGACAACGGTGTTTTACGTCACACCCCTTTCGCTTTTGATTGCGCTTCAAATTACGACTTTTTCCAACCTTAAAGCTCTCAATTTTGAGCATTACAACTCATGGACACCTGAACAAAAAACATCTCAGTACAACAGCATTGAAAATTTGAAATCGATGCCAAATATTATTGATGACAGCGAAGGAATGTACAAAGCATCCCGCTTCCTCATTCCAGAATACCCTTCGATAGGGCTGCCTGATCCCTCCAGTCTGGTGCTGACAGATGGTGGATACCTGAAGCACAGAGACTGGTGTGGTGCAGGATGGGTAGTAGGAGGAGGGCCGTTTAATTGAGAAGGGCGGTAGGAATGTAGAGACTGAAAATGAAGAAATGTGGAGATCCACCTTTGAGTGCTGTCAGCACGTCTCCAACAGCATGCAAAGACAGCCATGCTTGATTTACACTAATCTTTACACACATACAACAAGCATCTCTGCCTCACCCTCTAAAATCTTGTCCGTCTACATCTGTCAATAGTCAGGAGCAAGGCCAACCACCCATAGCCAAAGCCTGATCAACAAACGTCTTGCCTCTTTACATTACACAAACTGCTGCGATCACACATGCAAAGCGATACGCAAGCATAATCACTCTTAGTCAAGCCTGTGACAGTTGCGGCTGCTAAATTCCACCACCACGGCTATCATATCCATGAGCGCGTGTGGAACGGCGGGCCGCCCCAGGCGAATCACTGTTTATCTGTGCTTGATAAGAACCGCTTCTCTTTCTTCAGCTCACATACACAAGCTTACAGACTATTGACAGTTTTTCAGTAAAAAGTTGAAGATAAGAGGCAGTTAATCTCGTCATTACTACTGCTGACAACAAAAAAAATGTTAAAGAATTTTTCCATTTCATAATGATAATGAAAGTGAGACGTAAAAAAAAAAGTGCATCATGACAATATTACAATTTTTACTGTTGCAAGAAATAAGATGAGACAAAAGTAACACAACATAAGATATAAACAATGTACTGAAAATGTTTTTTGAAGAAGAAAAACAGGAATATTATTCTTTCAAATAATCCAATGACAGACTACTGCTGGAGATTGGCCAGCATGAGCTGAAGCTGAATGCACATTTAAATGTTTTTGAAAGAAGTCTCTTATGTTCTCCAAGGCAGCATTTATTTGATAAAAAAAAAATTCAAAACTGTAATAATATTTCAAAATAATACTATAAAAAAAACTCCTTTCTATTTTAATATATTTTTAAATGTAATTTATTCCTGTTATGGCAAATCTGGAAAAAAAATCAGCAGCCATTACTCCAGTCTTCAGTGTCACATGCAGAATTTAGTTAAAATAGACATTTTGTCACATTATAAATTGTTTTGCTGTTATTTTGAGATATTTAATGTCCTTACAGAATAAAAACATTTATTTATTGATTTTATTTGTTAAAGAGATAGTTCACCCAATAGTTTACATACATGTCATTCCAAACCGGTATGACTCCCTTTTTTCTGCGTAACGCAAAAGGTATGCTGAAAACACGCTGGGGTCCAAACTACATTGGACCCCACTGACTTTCAATGTACAGTCAAAAAGAAAGAGAGACAAGTCATACCTGTTTGGAATGACATGAGGGTGAGTAAATGATTGGGTGAAAAATCACCTTTAAAAAAAATTGGGTGAAAAATCACCTTTAAGCATCAATACGTTTAACAACATTTTTTGAATATTTGGTTTAAAATAATTTTCTCTCATCAACTTAAATTAGATACCATTTTAAGTAAAACTACATGACAAAATGGACTAAATTCAAATATTTTCAAATAATTCAAATATTTTCTTGAAAAAACAAAAAGACGGAAACAATTTAAAACAAAAAAAATAAAAATAAAAATAAGGGTGCTGAGAGAGTACTGTTATCTCTCCACAGCGTGTGCACTTCAGCAGCAGGTTAAGGTCGGATGGTGGAGACCTGGGCCATGTTGCTTCATCTCTCCTCAGCCTTTCGTAGAGCCTCCCACTGTGAACTACTGTTCCTTTTATTACAGATGTGTTTTTTGTTTGGTTAGCAGCCTGTGAGGTTTTGATGTTTTTATTACCTCTCGCGGGTCGTTCGTCAAGCGGGGCGAGCGAGAGGAGCAGCCACCCTGCAGATACCCCCAGCGCTACCGCCACACAAAAATACGTCTGTGGGAAGAGCTCGCAGCGGCTGTCTGGACATCACACTGCGCTGCACTTCAGGGTAATTTAAAAGCCCCGGCTGACTCCTTTTCCGAGCTGTTCTTTTTTTTTTTAGGCCCTCTCCGCCAAGAATTACATTTTAAATCACATTTTTTTTTAACATGCAAAATAAACCAAAACGTCGATACAGCTCCTATTTTGTGAATAAATGCTTATTACTGCAGATACATTTTGCATGCTAGACAAAATAGGGAGGAAGGTTTGGGTTTGGGAATATTTCTAATTCATCCATTCATGTGTAAAAGGCGCTGGAAAGAATAACAATCCATGCGCAGGACTGCAGTGTTGTATATCAGAGCCTTTTCACACAGATTTCTCGCAGAATATGAAATATTGAATCTGTAAGACCTGAAATCAGCAGAGAATATGGCTGCTAATGAGGCATTACCTTTCAGATGAGTAAAGTGTTATGCAAGATAAAACATGGCTTTTGCGTGTGCTCATTTTTTAAGAATGCTGTATAAATATAAATATAAAAGCATTTGTATGCGCACAGTATTGTGGGAGAAGAGATGTTTTTGTCTAGAGGCAAAATCTGGCCTAGAACTACAGTATGACATCACAGTGTAGCTGAGAGTTGCCAATCTAAAGTAAAAGAGACTGATTTATTATCCAACAGATCTGAGGAAACTTTATATTCTAGCCAAATACTTTCCAAGTGTATGAGGTGGTGTGTGTCTACATGGCCACGTACACACCGCTGCTAAATACGCTCCTCAATACTCTTACTCCACTTCTAAATGCCAAATACGCCTACACACACATTGTTTGATTATTTAGAGGAGTGACACCTGAGTTTTAATTCATTTTTTTAGAGAACCAAACTGAACAACCAGTTACTTAATTCGACAGAGAATGAACATGTAATAGCAGTTTACTATTAACTGATGGACAATAATAAAAACATCTCTAGTAACTAATATTACTTTGATCACAAATATTTAAAACGGTTGGCACCCTTGAGTCTTGTATAAAAAAACAAAACAAAGAAACTACAAAACTATGTCATTATCACTATGTCAATCAAAAAGGCTTTCAAAACCCATTTGACTTCCACAATGTGATATACAGACACAATGTTCACAAAAAAAAAAAAAAAAAAAAAAAAAAAAAACAAGAACATGGAACTAAAATTGACTGGATTGTGAAAAGTGGGTGCTCTATATCAGAATGTGACTTTGCAGTTAAATATTTAAAATATCCACTTCAAAAATACTGATGAAGGTCAAGTTCACCCAATAATAATGCTTCTTTTTTCAAATTAAACACAATTTGCAATTATTGCTGTCCTTTATTAAAAAGACTAGAACTAAACCATTGCATTTATTAGGGCTGAATGATTTTTGGAAAAAAATAAATAAATCACATAGCGATTTTCTGATAAAAAAAATTGTAACTGCGATTAAAAATGCAATCTGGGGAAAAAAATAAAAAAATAAAATAAAATCCAGCTTTGCTGTGCTAGTTTGTAGGGCTACACAATTTGACCAAAATGTTGTGATTATATAATCAATATGGAAATAATAACAATAAATAAACTAAAAATAAAAAAATATTTTAAAACAAGTATTACTAATGTAATGTTTGGTTCCCAAGTGCACATTAAAGCTACCCAAACTCAGATCAGATGCAGAGATTTAGTTCGTGTGGAGCAGCATTTACTGTGAAACAAGCCACTCTGAGGTGCTGCAAACACTGGCAGATAATGAGCTGCTCATGTGTACTTCACTCTAAAACACAGTTTATTTATTTAATAAAATCACAGCTTGCTTGATTTGATAGTCACACTAAACCATATCGCGATTTAAGTTTTACTGATTAATCGGGCAGCCCTATAATTTACTACTGGAAAGATAATAGAAAGGCTATAATATTATCCCATCCATAAATAGATTTTTGGGTATTGATTAATAATAATATTATTACCCATTAGCCCACAAGACCAAGGTGACGGCAGCCGAAAAGCAAAGTTGCTTTAGAGGCAGATCTCTAAATAAAAAATGTTCACGGATTAAAAAAAGTTTTCAATAATGAAAACGCATTACGATAGTTAATAGGGTCAATTTTGAGTTCATGAAGAATTTAAATTTGGTTGTCACTTTCACATGTGATCGCACCTGAAGGTTTTGCTGGTTGTCAAGGGTCCAGGATTGGAGGATCTTCTCTGAAGACCCCGAGATGCCTTTCTGCTTGCATACATCAATGTCTAGACACATGACTGGCTCAGGATGTGCCTTCAGACAGCTGAACGGACGGCGATGGGAAACATCCCATAACACCAGAGAGCCGTCCTCATAACCGGCACACAGAACTGGACCAGAATCCGCCTACAGAGAGACAAACAAACAGATGAAAGACAAAGACTATGTGAGAATAATGGAGAGGGAAAAAAAGGAATGAAGAAATAGTGAGGAAAAGAGCAGGGGGAAAAGAGCAGACAAACAGAAGCATATGGCAGCAGTGTTTATCAGAGGTTATCAGACTGCTCATGCTCTGATGAACCACAGCATTAATCATCTGATGCTGCCTTCAGCCAATCACAGCACATGATACTGCAAACTTCACTAGAGCAGGGCTGGCAGATATCTTTGCTATTATGAAATAAATATATTTGATACCATTTGTTACCAATAAAATAAGCCTTAATATATTTCAAATAGTAATAATAATCTAATAATTTAATATAAAATATCACTTGTATTTGCATTTAAAAATGTAGTAAATATGTATTTATATATATATATATATATATATATACATACATATACACACACACACACACACATAATAAATATACACAGTACACACGCATATATTATGTAAACAAAAACTTTTACTTTGGATGCGATTAATAGTGATTAATGGTTTGACAGCACTAATAGGAATATGTGACCCGGGACCACAAAACCAGTCATAAGGGTCAATTTTTTTAAATTGACATTTATACATCATCTGAAAGCTGAATAAATAACCTTTGATGTATGTTATGTATATTTGGCCGAGAGACAACTACTTGAATATCTGGAATCTGGCAGTGCAAAAAAAATCTAAATATTGAGAAAATCACCTTTAAAATTGTCCAAATGAAGTTCTTAGCAATGCATATTACTAATCAAAAATTAAGTTTTGATATATTTACGGTAGGAAATTTACAAAATATCTTCATGGAACATGATCTTTACTTAATATCCTAATGATTTTTGGCATAAAGAAAATCGACAATTTTGACCCATACAATGTTTTTTGGGCTATTGCTAAAAATATACCCAAGCGACTTAAAACTGGCTTTGTGGTCCAGGGTCACATATAATTAGATAAGTAGACAAATATTTGTAAACCACAAAACCGAAAATCCCATATTTGCATATAACACCCATTACTGCTTTAACATGTCACTACAATTTTTAAACCAGAGCCTGCGGTCATTTTATACTGCCACAATCAGTGTGGCCTCTGAATTTCCGTTCACCTTCTGTGACCTTTTTTCACT